CAAATATATTTACCGGAAAAGTTTTCCGCCGAATTACGAATCTACAGGTCTTGTGATGCTTGAAACAAATTATCGCATGTGCACTATAGTCTAATATTCATGCTTCATTAGCTAAGCGCCGATCCCGGATAGATATGCCCTTTCGTGTCAAATGTTTCGTTTTTTTGTGCATTTGTGCGGCCCCCTTTGGTCCAATTAGCTTCTGTGACATAAATGCGCAAGGTCTCAATTTTGGAATTTTGTTTGTACGACGTCCAACGATTTTTAATTTGGGAATACTTTACGTAGTTCCCTCGAACTGCGCATGGAGCTTGGGAAAAATATCGCGCAAGCTGCAATGATGACGAAATTGGGCTGGTGTGAGAGGGAAAACGTTCAAAGACGGGCGGGGGTTACTTCTACTGGCCATTCGTGGAACTTTTTTCCTGCAGTTTTTGACTAATAATGGGACCCGACTGATGAAACATGTTGAGAAGTCGCTAATTCTGATTGTTTATATTGTCACTGATCGTACATGCTATCGGGGACCCTAATACTGAGCGCCGACATACTTTCCCCGTTCGAAAGGCGTGTGCATGCGATAACGTTACAGAACTGCTGTATCCGATCCGATCCTCTATACGAAATAGTTGGCGATTCGACTCGCGGCCTCCACGGCTCAAGAGTAACTGAACCGAACGGTTTGCATCAATTTCGCGCAGCGAACTATGAATGTAGTATCGCGCACGAAACACATCCTAGATGAGGCTTTTCCTCACCTCCTGCATGTTACTAAGCGCCATAGCCGCACTCAATTCCCCATGATCGCGCAAGATTCGCAAATTCAAATTCGAATTCGCGAGCCGCTGGTGATTGCCTTCGAACGATCTCACATCATAGCGACTGAAGGTGTTGCCTCCAGACCTTCTCAGGCCGTGATCGCGAATGCGCTGGCAAATGACCCGTGTACTTCAGGCTTTGAATGCATCTGGGCTTGAAGCAGTAGCAAAACGTAGGGGGAGACATTGCGAATGACGTAAGCATGCGTCGTTGCGTCTCGAACGGCCTCGCGGCATGGTAGCGACGACGGAGGTGTCGCCCTGAAACCTTGAAGTAGTTATTGCGATGCGCGGGACGCGGCGAGCGCACTTCAGACGTATGAATGCATCTCTCGACGCAGTAGCAAAAGTTGTAGGGCTCCTCCTCAAAGGAGGCGTTGCGACGGACGTAGGAATGCGTCTCGGCCCATCTTGGCGATCGATGCCGATTCATACCGCGGCTGGAATCACTCAGAACGAAGCAGTCACAACCTAGGACGAGAAACGGCGGGATTGAAACGCGATCCAGGTGTAGACGGCAAGGAAACGTCACAAAATTTCAGGCCCCCAAAACATGCCCGCAAATGTAGCACGCTTTGGGGAATGCTTTAGGTGCAGTGTGCGAAGAGTCCCACAACAAGAGATGAAGTATGTCCGCAGGGTGGGACTCCCAGGCGGACGAAACCTGGCCATGTGTGTCGGAACATCGCATACGCGACAAAATGAGTTTCGCTACAAAAACTTGTAAGGATAAGGAGATGGTGTGTCCTTATAACGCATCGCGAAAATGTTCACCAACCAATCTGGGCCACGTGGCTTTCCAGCGTGAAACTTGCGACATGGCTCCATCCAGCTCATGAACCGTCCAGGTGGTGGTTTGGAACAAGGCTTCTGATTGAAATTTTAGCCAGTAGTCAGATCTGGGCTCCCTACAAAAACCACCCGTTAAAGTCCGTTTTCGGCCCTATTCGTACTCGTCAAAGTCCGTTTTCCGGCCAAAATCCCACTCAACCTACGTTTACAACCCATTTTCGAGCCAGAAACGACCCTTTAACCCCTGGGCTCGGAGATAACCGTATCCGTAAAAAAGGGAGTTCCGGTCTAAAATGACCCGTTAAATTATTAAAATACTGATAATTACCCGTCAAATATAGGCCCTGGATGGATAATTGCACAGCCCGAGCTGCAAAAACTTTGATCACCAGTGAGGAAGCCCAACCACCACCTTCTCTCTCGGGGAACCCACCACCAACCAATGCTTCCCATCCATCCCAACCCATCCAAACTCTCGTACGAAAAACCCTAACCCAACTCCCTCTCTCAGTTTCCCCACCACCTCAAATCGCAGATGTCTATGCCTTAGCTAGGAACGAGTCTTCAAATATTCAATCAGTCATGGCTAGCTAGGCTCGTAGCTTAGCATTCTTCAATCGCCTCATGATTCTCTGCAATTAGCTGTACTCCAATGTTACGCGCGTGTCCTTTCACAACTTAGGAAAAGCACGTAGCTCTGTTTTACACGGCGCCACGGACTGGATCGTGCACCTGTGAAATGGGGGCGCTTTGAACGGTGGGAAAGAGGGTAGGCTAAGCTGTCGTTTGGAATAAAAGATGATAATGCATTTTGATTTGACTATGAGTCAATTGGAGGGTCGTTTTGGGGCATATCTTCTAAGGATACTATGTACAGATCTCCTATTTGGGACAGCGACCCATCAGCTCTGCGGCCTTCGACTATCGTCATGGCCACTCGCTTTCCGCCCTCGCCCTAGCTGTCGCATCTCGCCTCGTGCTGCTCGGTAAGACCACGTGTCCTCTCCCTATTTCCCCGAGTTATTCCCTGTGTCCTTTTCCGGATACGTTTCCACTGATGCGTTTTCTCTGCTATTTCCCACTCATTCCTCAATCCCCCACTCTACCCGTGCCCCGGGACCGCTCATCACTCGTCACCTGCGTCTGCTACCCCGGCGCTAAAGTGCAGTAAAGTCAGGGGTATACTCAGCAGCCCCTCCCTCCAGTCCATATGGCAGCATATGTGGTGGTATGGCTGCATGAACCAATGGTATGACAGCGCGCACATGGCAGCGCGCACATAACAGCGCGCACATGGCAGCGCGCACATGGCCACGCGGACATGGCAGGGCGCACATAGCAGCGGGCACATGTCAGCGCGCACATGGCCGCACGCACATGGCAGCGCGCACATGCCAGCGCGCACATGGCAGGGCGGACATGGCAGGGCGCACATGGCAGCGGGCACATGGCAGCGGGCACATGGCACCGCGCGCACATGGCCGCGTGCACATTGCAGCGCGCACATGGCAGCGCGCAGATGGCAGCGCGCAGATGTCAGCGCGCACATGGCAGCGGGCACAAGTCAGCGCGCTCATGGCAGCGCGCACACGGCAGCGAGCACATGGCAGGGGGCACATGTCGGCGCGCACATGGCAGCGGGCATATGGCCGCGCACACATGGCAGCGGGCACATGTCAGCAAGCACATGGCAGCGGGCACATGGCCGCGCGCACATGGCAGCGGGCACATGGCACCGCGCACATGGCACTGCGCGCACATGGCCGCGTGCACATTGCAGCGCACACATGGCAGCGCGCACATGGCAGCGGGCACAAGTCAGCACGCTCATGGCAGCGCGCACACGGCAGCGCGCACACGGCAGCGAGCAGATGGCAGCGGGCACATGTCAGTGCGCACATGGCAGCGGGCACATGGCCGCGCGCACATGGCAGCGGGCACATGTTAGCGCGCACATGGCAGCGGGCACATGGCACCGCGCACATGGCACCGCGCGCACATGGCTGCGTGCACATTGCAGCGCACACATGGCATCGCGCACATGGCAGCGGGCACAAGTCAGCGCGCTCATGGCAGCGCGCACATGGCAGCACGCCCACGGCAGCGAGCGTATGGCAGTGGGCACATGTAGCGCGCACATGGCAGCGGGCACATGGCCGCGCGCACATGGCAGCGGGCACATGTCAGCGCGCACATGGCAGCGGGCACATGGCCGCGCGCACATGGCACCGCGCGCATTGCCGCGCGTACAAAGCGGGGGACACATGTCAGCGCGCATATGGCCGCGCGCGCATGGCAAGGTGCACATGGCAGCAGGCACATGTCAGCGCGCATACGGCAGCGCGCACATGGCCGCGCACACATGGCAGCAGGCACATGTCAGCTCGCATACGGCAGCGCGCACATGGCCGCGCGCACATTGCAGCGCACACATGGCAGCGCACATGTGGCAGCACGCACATGGCAGCGGGCACATGTCAGCGCGCACATGGCAGTGCACACATGGCAGCGGGCACATGGCAGGGCATACATGGCAGCGTGCACATGGCAGCGGGCACATGTCAGCGAGCACATGGCAGCGAGCACATGGCAGCGGGCACATGTCAGCGCCCACATGGCCACGCCCACAAGGCCGTGCGCACATGGCAGCGGGCAGATGTCAGCACGCTCATGGCAGCACGCACATGGCAGCACGCACATGGCAGCAGGCACATGGTAGTGCATACATGGCAGCGCGCGCATTGCAGTGCACAGCACAGATGGAAGCGCATGCAGGTGCGCGCACATGTAGCCACTTGCTAAACGCCCCAAACCCCTTTTCCGCCATCCGCCATGTGCAGGTTACATGCTGCATCACGTCCGTGGTGCTGTCTATCTGTCCTACTGCATGGCCGTGGCTTCTAGATGGAGGTAAGACATGTGTAAGTCTCACTAACTTGAGGAACTGGCCATGGTTACGACATCTGTAACTCTGTCATGTCATGGCCTCACGATGCCATGGGGAGAGCTGATGGCAGCTCACACCCTCAGGTCAAGCCCTTGCGATGCCATGGGGAGAAATTATTATTTTCACCATGCAAAATTTTGCACCAAATGATCATCTTCTCGTCTCCCCTAACTGCAGCCTCTATTCCCACATTCCCGTCACCATATGTGTCGCCTATCTGTGCAGCTGGAAGATAAAACGGCGCAGGGCATCAATCAAGGCAACACGAGTGGGCTAAAGCTGCTGGCAATCGCCTTTTCCCTGCTTGAAATGATCTTGACTGTAGTTGTGCTTGCTGCTTGTGTGCATCATTATAGTGGATTTTCTTGGGAATTAAATGTCCCCAGAACTTTTTGAGTGAAGAACTAGAAAGTGCTTCAAAAGAAACGCATCCATATCCTGAGGATGGTATAAAAGATCGAATTTACACCAAAGGGGGAGGGTTCTGGCAACAACTTGTGAGGTATAGCACAGCACATGGGTGTATAATCTACGGTAGCAGCATCTAAATGACCAGCAGAGCGTGCTGCCTCATTATAAGGTCCGTTACACGAGACAGGCGGGTAAGACTTATAAAACGTTGGACATTTACCCCATCACAGCCACGGCTCAGCATGGTGGTCAGGGAGAGAGTCGTGCGGGCTTGGGTAGATGCAGTTCCCCGACCAAGTCCAGTACTAAATGCAGGGGAGCTTGTGCTGGTGGGAGGCGCTTCCATCATTGTGTGGGTGTGGAGATTTGAGGGCGTGGGTTAGTAGGGCCAGCTCAGAAGCGGATAATATTGGGGAAGGCATGGGGCGGAGGGTGGGATAGTGGCGAATGGGAAAGGGGAGAGGAGGGGCGAAAGGATAGTGCAGAAGTTGACAGTGCAACAGAGGATGAGGAGGGGCTGCAGAGCCGAGGGTACACAGGGTGAGAGAGGAATGCAGGGTCAGCAATAGAAGGTGGTGGAGAGAAATGGCGTGACTTGCAGGGGGGTGATTCACGCGATCTCTACCAATGGGCAACAGCCCGGAAAGTTTGTAGGACCTAGAGGGAACGGTGCTGGGAGAAGGGGGGAGGAAGGTGGATGTGTGAAGGCAACACGGTAGGAGAGTTGAAGGGCGACAGTGAAGCGTACGCTGGAACTGTTGGAAGGGAGTCGAGGAGTTAGGGGGAGTGGGGCCAGCGGTAATAGGCCTGCAAGTGGTGTGAGGCACGTAGCAGTGGAGGGGGTTGAGAGACACGGGAGGTGAAGAGGAATGGCAGCGTAACAAGTGTGAAGGTGATGAATGCAACATCTCTAGAGACAAATTCAGGGCAGAGAAAGTTATGTGGAGGCAGAAAGATGCATGGATGGAGTGGGCATGGCTGGAAGACGAGAGGAAGATGGTTTAGGAGAGGGGCAACAAGATTTCGCACTTCAATAGGAACTCCATGGTAGAAGAGGCGACATGCAGGATATGTGTTTAACGATCAATGAAGGACGTACCAAGAAAATGTGTTCGATAAGGGGGAAAGTACGTGCTATCTGTCCCGCCCACTCTCCTCAACCAATTGTCACTGTCCTTCAACCTCGATGCCCCTGCTTCCCCTTCCCCCTCCCCTCCCCACCTTCGCTCCTCTCTACCAGAATCCATACATGACCATAACCATCCTCACTCCGCTGCCTACCCATACCTTGGAGCCACTGCATGTGCGTAAGTCACTCGGTAGTTGGCCATGGGAGAGAGAAAAGGGTTGTGATCGTGGAGTGGCAGGATACGGCGGCGCGTAAGAGTGTAATGGGTTGTGCGTTCACCTGTTGCATAGTGGGCATCCCTCCTCCCCCTCCCTCCTCTTGGAAAGGCCAGCAAGGGCCGACATGAGCAGAACCACTCCACTGACCATTGGTAACTCCCCTCAAAGCAACCTTATGGTGCATGATCAATGACCATATCACCTGGACCATAGAGGGTTGCAAAAAACAGAATTGCAACATGAATGTTCGTCATGTTCATTCAAATGCACCGCGGGTGCGTGGGACACAAAGAGAGGCACGGAATGCGGACTGCGAGGTGAAAGACCATGGCAGATTAAGGTTTTTGTTACCTGTAAGGGGCCGGCGTAGGTGAGCCCAACGATTGAGTGGCCACACTCCTTGATGCTCGAAAGACTTCACGACGTGTACCACATCGGTGAGCCGTTCAATGGGTACTACCGTGTACCCATTCCCGCCCCCTTGTCGATGCAAAATACTGCAGCCAGTGATGTCGTCCACAGCACCAGTGGTCCACGTCCGCACGTATGCTACTGCGCGTTTCTGGCCTGCCTGGGACCCTACAAGCCTCTCCGCACGCAAAAGAAGCAGGAGCTGGCCGTACACGGGCTGTCCTCTGGTACTAGAAATGCTGACACATGAAAATGCAGGCTCCTTTTGGTTCCTAAGTGCTGCCCTTGCATACCAGCAGGCAGGCTGGCCATCAATGTCAGAGGTCGGGATTGCTACTGCCCTATGAACCTGCACAATAAGCTCAATGGCCCATGACCCAAGGCAGAAGATCCAGAGCTATCATGATGATGTGTACGGGGGGAGGACTGGGACATGTGGACATGTGGACTCATACATACCTCAGCCGGGAAGCTCTGGTAACCGGCGCGCCTCATTGTCTCACCGTAAGGCCCCAATTCCCCACCATTGGCTTCGACATAGCTGCTATAGATGTCGCTTCCAGATCTGGGGTTAGCGTCACCATACGTCAGTAAATCCGAATCCTCGGTGAGTTTTGGCGTCCCCGTCTCCATCGCCTGCAAAGAGTAAAGAAATAACAACCCCGGAGAACCAGGCGACAGTTGTAGCGATGGCGGTGTAGAGGCTGTCCGTTATGGCTCCTGACCAGCCCGTCTTGATGCAGAGTAACGTTAGGGTGGCAAAACAACTTCATGAACTCGGGATGGAAACATACTCTTGCAGCTGCAGTGTTGTATTTGCGTGGCGGTGGAAGCGAGCTCTTAACGCGGTGCAGCAAGTCTTGCGTAACATTGTGCTTTAGAATGATGTCCACATATTGACGATGGTTTGACGACCGATATGGCTGCTTGCAAGTCCGCGAGTGTGCATTTTCGAAAACCCCGGCTGCGAACTCTCGTGGCAGGCCCCCGCGTCGGATAGCATCAGGGAGATGCGTGAGTAAATGAACCTTGATGAGGTTCCACCCATGGCCAGACCGTGGGAACGCCATCTCTAGGAGACGCACCATCCTGTATGTCCAAAATGTGTTAATTTGCGCAATACAATCAAAATACTGAGACATGCGTCATGAGATGAAGGTATGAGACACTAAGTGGGATGGAACTCCAGACAAACCATATGGGGGTATGAAAGAAAGAGCGGGGGTTGCTGCATAGGCAAGAGAACTTGCAGTGATAGTCATATCAACATGTGGTGCGAGTGTTGGCGAGGACACCATGGGATGGGGTGAGAATATCGAACAGAAACAATAACGGTAGAGAGAGGCTGGGATTGGAAGTAAGGATTAGACGGCCGAAAGTAGGGACATCAATGGATGCAAAGAGGCAACCGTTCATGATGATGCGGGAGTGGTGGCAAGAATCGGGCTATCAAGAAACAATGAGGAGGTGGTCATATGATTTAAAGTTTAGGACGAGGTGGGGTTAATGAAGACGCATGTAGAGAGGTTATATGGGTCAAAGGTGTAGGCTGGTGCCATGACATTAAAAGGGGTTAATGGGTCGAACTAGAAGAAATTGTATGGCTAGGAGTAAAAGGCATAAGATCTGTTCTCTGGCAGGGAAGGGTGTTAATGAGAGAAACCATGCAAGCAGTAGGCATGAGTAGAAGCCATATGCGGATACCAGGAATATGCAAAGTGTCAGATAATAATAAGTAGATCCATACTGGTGGCATGGGGTAGGAATAATCTGAGGAAGTAGGACCAGCCAATATGGGTAGAAGCCATCTAGGAGACGGGGAGGGGGTGTGGCCCAGGTTGATGGGGGGATATAAGAGATTTACGTACGTCGCTAATCGGGAAAAAGGCCGACCATGGTGCCCTTGGGGGTGTAGACATGATGTAACGAATATGGACAACGGCAAGGTTTCACGGTTAAGGCACGAGCTTGGAGGAAGGGCATGGTTTGTGATGGGAAGTGAAGGAGAGGGTATAGCAAGTCAGCTTGTACATGTAAAGGCCATGGCTGGTGCCATGCGGGAGGAGGGGGGGGGAGAAGAGGACGTGGAAAAACGTCAGAGGGGGTGGGGTTGATCAGAGGAATTAGTGAGAAATAATATATGGGTAAACCAAGTGACCAGGCATGGAGTGAGACCGGTGAGCCGAATCGGGAAATCAGCCCATATGGGGAAAAAGGCAAGAACTGGTGTCAGGGCATGGGGAGGGGCCGATGAGTGGAATGAGGAAAACAGCTGAAATAGACAAAAGGGGTGGTTTCGTGCATTGGCATGGGCTGCACTTGGTGAGTGGAATGAGGAAAATAGCTGAAATAGACACAAGGGGAGGGCTTGTGCAATGGTATGGGGTGGACCTGGTGAGTGGAATGAGGAAAAAAGCTGAGATGCAGAAAAGGGGTGGTTTCGTGTAATGGCATGGGCTGCACCTGGCGCGTGGAATGAGGAAAATAGCTGAAATAGACAAAAGGGGTGGGCTTGTGCAATGGTATGGGGTGGACCTGGTGAGTGGAATGAGGAAAACAGCTGAGATGCAAAAAAGGGGTGGTTTCGTGTAATGGCATGGGCTGCACCTGGCGCGTGGAATGAGGAAAACAGCTGAAATAGACAAAACGGGTGGGCTTGTGCAATGGTATGGGGTGGACCTGGTGAGTGGAATGAGGAAAACAGCTGAGATGCAGAAAAGGGGTGGTTTCGTGCATTGGCATGGTCTGCACCTGGTGAGTGGAATGAGGAAAACAGCTGAAATAGAGAAAATGGGTGGGCTTGTGCAATCGTATGGGTTGCACCTGGTGAGTGGAATGAGGAAAACAGCTGAGATGCAGAAAAGGGGTGGTTTCGTGCATTGGCATGGGCTGCACTTGGTGAGTGGAATGAGGAAAATAGCTGAAATAGACAAAAGGGGTGGGCTTGTGCAATGGAATGGGCTGCACCTGGCGCGTGGAATGAGGAAAACAGCTGAAATAAACAAAAGTGGTGGGCTTGTGCAATGGTATGGGGTGGACCCGGTGAGTGGAATGAGGAAAACAGCTGAGATGCAGAAAAGGGGTGGTTTCGTGCATTGGCATGGGCTGCACTTGGTGAGTGGAATGAGGAAAATAGCTGAAATAGACGAAAGGGGTGGGCATGTGCAATGGTATGGGCTGCGCCTGGTGAGTGGAATGAGGAAAACAGCTGAAATAGACAAAAGGGGTGGGCTTGTGCAATGGTATGGGGTGGACCTCGTGAGTGGAATGAGGAAAACAGCTGAGATGCAGAAAACGGGTGGTTTCGTGCGTTGGCATGGGCTGCACCTGGTGAGTGGAATGAGGAAAATAGCTGAAATAGACAAAAGGGGTGGGCTTGTGCAATGGTATGGGCTGCACCTGGCGCGTGGAATGAGGAAAACAGCTGAAATAGACAAAAGGGGTGGGCTTGTGCATTTAGAAATTGATACATGGCCAGCAGGGGGAATGGGCTGGAGCAGAGCGTGTCGTGGATACACTGGTTAAAGGATGGGTCGGCACTTACTCATGCAAGTCTGCTTGCATTTGAGCATGGCTGGCTTCACTGTGGCTGCTAGCTTGAATGTAGGTCTGATGCCACCCAAGGACATAGTTTAGGGCTTTGTGGCGTGCTGGAGCAAGCTTCCCCTCAACTATGAAAGTGATAACCTGATTGTGAAAAGAGAGAGCGGAAAGGATGATATTAAGTATGGTGCGAGCACATGAGAAGTGGGACCAATAGGGAGAGTACTTACTGACATCATGCCGGAATGCTCTGCGCCGGTGTAGCTTGCGCTCGATATGAAGTATTTTCCAGGAATGGGGGCAGGAAGCCCAGCTAGGTGTGCATCAGGATACATCCTCAGATACCGCCTGCAGGCCACATGTGTAACCAAGTGAGTGTCGAACCCGGTTTGGCAAGGCCACAGCAAAATGTCCCAGCTAGGTGGCTTGGCTTACACAGTAATGCCATGCACTTACTCTTCATAAATCTTGGCAATATCCTTATCTGAAATCAGGACAGTCACCAGATGCTTCCAAACCCCAAGGTAGAACACATGCAATATGTCCGGCATCATAGAGAGATAGGTGTTACCCCACGGCTCCTCTGAAAAATTGATTTCCCAAAGGGCAGACTGTCAAAATATGGGTGGGGCAGTGGGAATAGGAAGAGTGTATCGGTGGAATGAAGGTGCCAGCCATAATATCCGACCACTGAGGCGTGGGGGCATAGTGGGTAGGGCAAAAACCTCACTGTCCTCTGGGACCGAGTACAACTGCAGGCCGAAAGGAGACTCGTGCATATGGGTATAAGCTTTAAACTGTTGCAGGCATAGTCGTGAAAGTTTCAACTTACTGGACACAGCCCCACCGAGCCATGCGCTGTGATGGAGGCCATCCCATCATTATGGCTCACCAGAATGGGGATGGTTGAGTACTGGTGTGCTTCACGCTCGCTGCGCAGAAGTTTAGACTGCCCGGCCACAGTCCGAAGATGGACGCCTCTCGTATCAGTCTGTCGTAGTCGCTTCCTCGATATGTAGCACAGGGAGCACGGCTTTGATGACTTTAGGGACAATGTGCAGGATACCCTGCATGTCTCTGGGTAGTCACCAATGTATGCATAGAGCAGTGGCCGCACCTTGCGTGAAACGCCCCAAGGATCCACCATATCAACCGGGCTATGTTATAGAACACGGAAAGGGAATGGGCAGAAAGTAGAGAGGGAGATAAAGAGGACAAGAGAATGGGAGAGAGATAGAGAGAAGGGGGGGTTAGGGGAGAGAGAGAGAGAGAGGAATGAACAAGTGAGGAATTCATGAAAGTGCGAGGGGTATGGAGAGAGGGGGGGGGCTTGGATAAGCGGCGTGGAAGAGGAAACGAGACGCATGGGAGGGGATGGGTAGGACGAATCAGCACACAGAAGGGGACACACAACTCCGTCCACAAACCCCGGCCTGAAATCAGCCCCCTGTATCAACCCCAAAGACTGGGGATTGGGCTACAGACAGAATTGAGGTTACATGGAGAGGGAGAGTGATGGATTGTGGCGAGGAAGGGACGAGAACGAGTGAGGAGATAGGGGAGGGGAAATGGATGGTGGCGGGGAGGGGAGACTAGGAGACAGTGAGAGGGCACCATAGGCAGTGCAAATAATTGAGTGACGGAGTGAGACAGAGGGACTATGTGGACAAGGGATGGAGAGAGAGCGCAGGAAACAGAGAGGAACCAGAGTAGTGTGATGGCATGTAGAATGAAAAGTAGGAGAGAAAAGAGAAGCGGCATAGGTGAGGGAGATAGGGTGGTAGGATAGGAAGGGGTTCGGGTGGTGGCCGTGGAAGAAGAAGGGGGCAGGGGTCAGCCCGGGGGGGGGGGGGGGGGGTGGTGAGGGAGAGCGTGTGATGGAGAGTAGGGGAGATTGGGAGAACAGGGATGCGGTGACGGCATGATGGGGAGTGGGAAAAGAGGGGAAAGGGGGAGAGGGAATGGATAGGGAGGAATAAATAGAGAGATTGCGCGATAGTGAGAGCAGTCGATAGGGAGCGAGGGAGTTAGGGGGAGCAGAAGACATGGAGGGGGGGGGGAAGTAGGGGGCCAGAGGTTCGTGTGGGGGGCGGAACGGGCAGTGGGGATACATAATGTTTGGAAGGGAGAGGGAGAGTTAAGGGAAGGGGGAGATAGGAAGCGGGAGAAATGGAAGGGGACATGGGAAGAGGAGGGGTGGGGGATGGGATGGTTACTTTTTGGATGCCCGGTGCAGCTCATGGAGAACGATGCCAAGAGATTTCTGGAACAGCTCGACCTTCTGCATGGGCAACATGTGCTTGTTTGGTTCCGGCAAAATGGCAAGGAGTAATTTCCCAGCGTCGTGCCAGCGCCGGTGCCATGGAATGTTCGCGGTGGATATGTACAGTGGCCAGATTCGAGTCCGCATCGTGCCATCGAGTGTCGTCTGATCGCTTGCAAGGATCACTGGACAAATGACTTCGTCATCCGGCACATGGGCCTGTTGGAGGCATTCCATTGTTTTGGGGGCACAATCCCCAAATCGGGAAAAAGCGGGCAGCACTTGAATGCCGAGGGCAGCATGTGGGCGTGAGTGCTTTGAAGGAGTTGGCAGGAGACAGGGGACTCTTAAGTTTTGGCACATGGAAAGAAACAGTAGAAAGACTTCAAAAGGACAATCGAGTCAAGTTGGCGGGGAAACAACAACATGCACACCTGAGCTTCCATCCAAAAGCTTGCAGTGCTAGGTGTCGTGAAGAGAAGATTGCCACTGGCATCTATTTGCGGAGTGGCCCACAGCTGAAACCCGGAAGAGTTGCTCTCGTCCCCGAAAAGGCCACGCAAGGCCTGCATAATGGTTGGCCACCAACAACAATGGACCATGAGGGTGCTTAAAACTTGCAGATACCTGCAGTGGGACTGCCTTGGCATAAATGCGGGAGGGTTGAGTCCCCGGACATGCACAAGTGATGCTCCATACCTGAATTGGACTAGTGAACCTAACATAGAAGGGCCGAGGCCAGCCTTCGATGTGCACCTCGCGGACCATGTATGTTCTCCCACTGAGCCCAATACTGCGACCATACTTGAGGGCCGCCGTCTTTGAGTGCCAATCGGTGATTCTGGACAAATCCAGACCCTGGGCATGCAGAAACTTGAGGAGACGTGCGGTGTTGGGCACGGAAAGACCGCTGCCTCTGTTACACGCCATGATGAAGAGATAAAACTCCAGAGCCGTGTCAAAAGACATGGGACGGCTGTACCCGCGCTCGCAACTACTCTCCCCGCTGTCGCTGTCATTCAAATGGCTCGACTCACTACCCTGCGTGGAGCTGGAGCTTGTTTGCCTGCTAGGTGGCTCAACGGGAGGGCATCCATTGCTGTGGTTGAGTGGTGCCCGAGAGTGGTGAGCACGCTCAGTGCAGGAGGGGCCTACAGAAGTAGCATACGGCCCGAAGAAAATACCAGCGTTGTAGCTGCGTTCCTTGGCTAGCCTGCAATCCACATCTATGGACGTGTGTGTCCTAAGAGGCCCAGATCCGCGGAACGAACAGCCACACCATTCGCACGTTACTTTGCGCTGTTTCATGGTTACGACATATGTTTCCCAGGACTGCGGGCCACAGAGAGTCGAAGAACCACGGTGGCATACGCTCGTCGCATGGAGACCGAGTAAGACCGCAATATATAGACTCAGCAGCCAAATCCGCGACACCTCCATGGTAGAATGCAAGAACCTAGTTAAACTGGCGACTACTGTAGTGTGCTATTCGAGCATCTGTCTAAGAAATGGCACATGCATGCATACCACGCTGCCTCTAGGCGCGTACAAAGGATTTCATCATGGGAGAACCAAAGATGCTACGAATTTCTTTGGGGCAACAAACGTGGGTAAACACCCTCTCATAGATCGTTTAAAGGGACATTACATAATGGGAAACGACTGTGGTGGATCCTGAACTTAACTTGCGAACCTAGCAGCTACTCAAATGCAAACTCTGACTACAGAGACTACTGTCGCGTCATGTACAAAAGGGCAGTGACGAGGGTAACTCTGCTAACCGTCTGCAACACCTCCTAATCGAGCCTACGAGAACCAGTCAGAGGAGAAACTGATAATACACTAGCGCACGGTCTCTGGCCAAAATCTGAAGCATGTTCCCAGAGCAACCATTTGCTCCATACACGTGCACACGCAAGCACGTGACCACTCCTAGCATACCCCAGCAAAAACCAGACCTGCCCAAGAGACAGAACCCAATTTCTCCGACCATGCCTGCTGTACCACCCGAACCTGTTTTTGTAACACACACTACACTACGAAATTATGAGCACCACATCTGCCCAGTCCCGACACCGCTGATGTGGAGTGAGTCATTTCTGGTGGTCGCGTGCTCCTTGTCTTTTTCGCCGACCAAGAGTCATCGTTCCATTCTGACACGGTGTGGTGCCGCCTAACACCACCCGCCCTGTCATATGCTCGTGGTTACACCAAAGTTTCGCACTTCCGAACGTAGCCATCACATGTACCCCGTGAATTCATGCTACAACACAGCATTTCGTGCGCATGTTTCGTCACACAACCAGAAAACGCCCTGCGCACTCATCGTGGGCTGGCGCTGTTCTTTCAAATTCATAAGGGCACCCTGCGCCTCGGGCACCTATTTCAAAGCGAGCATTCCTAGACTGAGTTCTTGAATAACACAGTTTCCATGTTGACTTCACAAGCACTCTTTGTGGCTTTCTTGGATTTAGTAGCTACCACTCTACCGCACGCACCACTTATATCATCTTGTGCTAGCTGATCATTAGGGCTCTTTGTGCAATCAACATCAACTCGCTATCCTTCCCACCTGAGCCCTAAACTTGCTTCTTTGTTGCGCATCATGTCCACGTCACGCCGGACGTCACGGAAAGGAGCCGGACAATCCTCACGGTTTGAGGAATATGAGGTTTATGAGTCATCTTCCCGTGGGCATCGTTTTCACACCGAGCAAGCTGCAGCAACAGCGTCATCAGAGGGCATGTGGGGAGACGAATCGGAGTACATGTCTTGGGCTAGTGAGCAAGAAGAGGATGGTATGGCACCCGATGACGACATGGACTCGTTGGCGGGTGACCCGGATGCGGTTTCGGCTGGTAAGTAAGTTGGGTATGGATCGGTGGGAAAGGGTCCCAAAGAGGGGGGGGGGGGGGGAGGAGGAGGGGGGAGGGGAAGGAGAGGTCCCTTGATTGCCAACTACCTGGATAAGGCTGGCAATGGAGGCATGCAGCTTAGGTGGGCCGGTATGACACTATCATACCTAGTGGACAGGTAGGAGGCTATGCTGCGTGCGAGATGGTTGGACAGAATGGGGGCAGAAGGAATGAGGCAGAAAGTGAGGGGGAGACAGGGTAACCGAGGCTGAGCATGAGAGGGTAAGGGGGGAGAGGGGGGAGAGGGGGGGCTAAGGAGGAATTGGCGAAAAGGGGGGGGGGGGATGGTTTGGGGTGCTGTTGGGGATTGATAGAGTCAATGTGATGCATCCAAATCATCATGGTGGGCCCTAGTTCCATTGTGCATAGCGCCATCTTTCCCACCTTTCTTCCTTCAGGCCCCATACGTTATGCGCTGCCATCTTCATTGGCTGGTTTTACCATGATGTCCCTCCCGTTGCTGCCCATATCCTTTCCAGGGGGGACACCTCCCAGGAAAGAGCGACCGCTGGCCGAGATGACCGTGTGCACCGCTCCCTCAGGCACTCCAATCCAGACGCATTTCACAGAAGACATGACCGGCACTGCTGCAGCAGCCATGGCGGCACGGGACAGGCGTCACGCCCAGTCTCGGAAACGGGGAGGGCAGACCCATGCACGCTCAAAGGCCCGTGCCAGGCTCGATGGCCATACTCCTGTCACTCGGGTCCCGGGCATCAAACAACTGCGGCAGAGAGTGTGGCACGCAAAAAACATCTGATGGAATCGGCTGGAAACGTCGGGTGCGGTGCTGCAGAGCCACGTTGCCGTCGGCACCATGGGGCATGGAGGCAGCACAAACCAAAGTCCCTCCACGCTCAACCTCGGACAGATGGTCTTGACACCCTCCCAAACCTGAATTCATACACAGCCGACCATCCAATGCCGATTGCAGTTGCGCGAGCTGTGGACCGTGAGATCCACCGCCATGGTGGTGCACACTGGTTGTGGGACATCAACCGAACGCAGTCCAGGTGGCCGGCTAGGATGGAAGATGCTCTGCAAACAATTCCGGATGTGTACACCGGATTCAAGGTGTGATATACCCTTTTTTTTTTTTTTCCTGCCTGCTCCACCCTGTACCACACATCTGCAGAAAATGTTGTTGTTCTTGCCCTCCTTTACCTGCTCCTTTAGGACTTGCCTTGCACCCATACCCAAAATGCTCTGGCGACTGAATGTTTGTCATGCACCATACCCATTGCCACACACAACTGGCATTAATTGTTCCCCTGTGCTCATCCCGCTCGTATTGGTCCTTCAGATGTTATTGTGGCCGTGGCAGCGGCTCGTTCTCATCCCTCTCCCGGCAGCTCCATTCTTTCCATAACAAGTCTTTCCGACCCCACATCTACCTCAACCGCTGCTGCCTGTCCCTACCAGTGCATGTGCAGTTCTTGCCTACACCATTCCTACCCAGCCCCCACCCGCCACCCCCCCTTCTTGCTCAGCCCAAACCAAGCCTTCCTATTCCTGCCAGCTCTTCTCTTGGCTCCCCAACTCTAGCCGGCACCGCCAGTGCCATTGTGACGAGGAAGGTGATGGCTGGGTGCACGTACGGCAGCTCCACCCTAAATTGAAGCTGTTGCAGTAGGCTGTTTATCACAACAGTCCCCTGCAGCTGCTATGAATCATGTGTCCCCCCTTGCGCACATGTCACAGCTTTGTTGTGCCCCTGGCTATGCCTTCTTCCCCTCGACTAGGAGCCGCCCCTACCATACATGCCATGCCCAACCGCTTCAGAGCTCGGCACGTAAGATTGACACTAGGCAGCATCCAACATTCTGAGAGCGGCAAGCAATCTGGATGGTCCTCCCTTTCAGGTTAATCCATACAACAAGAACCTCTGTATGATCCATTTTTTCCCCAAACTTACTTCACTGCAGACCTTATGCAAGGATACGATCAGCATCATACTGTACAACACACCGGACGAGGATTTGACGATGTGGCCTGGGGATCCATCAGTTGAGGCTGCAATGTTGAAGGCCTTCTCATTCCAGGATCCTGAGCTAAAACTCAAAGTCCACATGGTGTGGAACAACGACCGTTTGCGCCGCCTATGGTTCACTCGGCAGCTACAGGTTTTGAGGTGCAAGATTCATGAGCAGGGCTGCACAACAGTGTTTCTTATGCAAGGCTTGCCGTACACCATTCCCAAGGACACACGTGTGAGGGTGCCTCCTGTTCGCGGTGCACCAACGTCGCTGTCAGAGTTTCTCAACAAATACGCGGCTGGTGAGCACACTTATTTTTGTCATACCGGTATTTTTGTAGATCATGCAGATGCATTCCATATACTGTGTTGCTACTCTTCCCTGTTTCTTCCTGGCAGAGGCTGACACCTTCAACCTGCTAAAATGGCATGCGAGCAAGGCTCGGGTGCCCTTCTCCACATCCCCTTTTGAACTGGGCATCTTCATTCAATCAGAAGAGGGCTGGCCCTCTGATCCTCAAGCCATATCATGTTGCCTATTGGCTCTTTGGAGTAAGTATTCTATGTGTTTTTCTGTGTTTGTAAGCATACATCGCCAGTTTCTAATATTTGGTCTGAACGTCTTACAGGTGGAGCACAGGATGAAAAACATTGGGGCAGTTAGCCTAAATAAGAGCGCTCCACAAAACGAGGATGCAACAGACGAGTATCACAAGAATGTTTTGGCATGGATGCGTCACGCCATCGCACACCGCAGCAAAGCCAATGGGCCGTGGTACAAGAAGGAGCATGCCGCCTGGGCATTCTCATTTGTGCCGAGGGTCCTCTTCACCTGCAGCGAGTTTGACGTCCTCATCCCCGAGTAGCGGAGTGAGCATCGGGGGAGGGGCGGTGGGGTGGGAGGGTTTTGGAAGCATAGGGGAAGGCAAGGAGGCGGGATTGGGGGATAGCGGGTGAGGGGGAAGGGGGGGAATAGAAGCAGGGAGAGGGGCAGTCGAAGCAATGGGGCAGGGGATGTGGAACTAGTGGGGCAGGGGATGTGGAAGCAGTGGGGCAGGGTGTTGGTGCAACCCTATGGCTTGCACTCGGCTTGTCGTCCTTGTTTGTGTGTGTGCATGCATGGCATGGAATGAATTGTGAGTCTATGTCATTGCTATCCAGTCCTTGTGTGTGTGTTTAAATGGTGTGTCACTATGTGGTTTGTGTCGGTCAAGACATTAGCGAGTTTTTACAAATCACATGTCAAGTCGTCGTTTGTGTGTCGCATGTGTTTTTTCTATTTTGTCGAGTGTGAAGTGTCCATCATGTCACAGGTGTGTGCAGCAAGCCCCCATCAACTCAAGAAGAATTTATCTTGCAGATCCAAGAACAAGAGCTCAAGATTTCAAGCCCAAGGGACGCGGATAAATATTAAATAGTGAAAATAGTAACGTTACTTCGTGTAGTGTTACATTTCACTTGGTGTAGCCCCTTGGAGGGTTGGTTTCGAGACTCTTCATGGTTGGGGAATCTGTGGTGGTGTACCACCAACCTGGACCTCGGCTCTTGGGGTATGTAGAGTCTGGGAACCATCTCCCTCTCGAATTCTTCTTCCTAAGTTTTTTGTACTCCTAAGACTATAGTGGCTGCTATACCTCCTGCCATTCAAACCGCCATAGCGTCGTCAAATCTTCATGGAATTTCATGATTCAACTTGCTGCTGATAAACAAGAGCAACACACTCCAGATCCTATTTATAGATCACTGTTTGAGGAAGCGAGCAGATCGTTATCAATATTTGAAGCCGTCTGACGGAAATCCGACTGTGCTCTCTATCTCTCATTATAGGCACATCTGAGCCTATTGTGATTATAACAAGTGGTATCAGAGCCCCTTGGAGCCTTCTCGACCATGCCTAGACCTGAGGAAGGGGGTGGCAAAGGTGCTGGAGGCAGAGAAGACGCCCAAGCGCAAGGTCAACACCAAGATCCACCCGTTGCTCCGGTGCAACCTAGCCTTGGACCCTCTAGGGATGAGCCTAGAATGTTTGGCCTTGACAAGTTCAACGGTGACAACTTTGCTGAGTGGTCCTTCAAGATGGAGAACATCTTTGACCACTATGATCTGCTGGAGGTGATGGAAGGAACGGAGAAGCGCCCCGAGAACGACCCGGAGAAGAGCCCGTGGGTGCGGAAGAGCGCACAAGGCTATCTTCTACTTGGGCAAGCGTTGGGGAGCAGCCAAATCCGTCACATCAAGCCTTTTCAGCGTGAACCAGCAAAGGGACCAAAGGCATGGGCTGCTCTCAAGGGTGTACACGCTCCTGCAACAGCGGTGGTGGCTGTGGTTTTGGAGCGGCAAATGGCGGCACTTCGAATTGACGAAGGCGAACCGGTGGAGGAAGGAGTGCAGAAATTCTTCAACTTATTGACACGGCTCGAAGGAGCTGACCTGAACTATAGTGATCTTCAAAAGAAGACCAAGCTGTTAGCCTTACTTCCGGACTCATGGTCCTTGCTCATCATCAACCTTAATCGAGATCTGCCCCGTCTCTCACTCGAAGATATGAAGCGGGCAATCTTACAAGAAGATTTCCGCCGTCACGAATTGGCGGGTCCCGATGGTGCCGGAGTTGCAAGCATGGGCCGTGGGCACGGCCGTGGAAGGGGCAGAGGGCGAGGAGGAAGATTTGGCAGCAGTAACTTCAGTGGAGGCCGTGGTAATGGAGGATATGGCAGCAACAACAACAATGGCTACGGGCGTGGGCGCGGTCGATTTGATGGCGAATGCCACTTTTGTCACAAGACCGGCCACATGTGGAGAGATTGCTTCAGATTGCCTGATGGATGGACCCCTTCTCAAGGCCAAGAGGGCAGAGGAGCAAGGGGAGGAAGAGGCAGAGGTCGTGGAGGCCGTGGTGGCCGTGGAGGCGAAGCGGCAAGCATGAAAGGTGGAGACTACGACAAGGAGTCGAGTGAAGATCGATACCCGGGCCAATTATTCTTTGTCTCCACACAAGCAGCAGCTGCAGTAGGAGGTGTGGATGGCTTTGAGGAGCCAGCAACTGTGGGAAAGGTCACCCTTCACTCTCTGGACTTTTGGGTGATCGATAGCGGCGCCACCTACAGCATGACACCTCGTGCGGACTTGCTCACCGAACTCGAACCGTCGCCGGTCAAGCATGTTACATCGGCTTGGAGAGGTGAAGAGTAACGGCTTGGAGCATGTGGAGCTGCCCTTGGAGCTGAGTAGCAGCAGCACAGTCACAAGGCAATCTCCTCAAATGAATGGGGATGAGGAGGAGGAGGAGGTGCAGCAAGGTGATGAGCGTGCACCGTCTCTTCCGCCTCGTGCTACAAGTGCTCGTGGGAACCGACCAGATTTACCGCAACGCCATGAGAGCATTCAAGTCCCTGCAGCAGAGGAGGAAGGAAGGGGGAGAAGGAGGACTCAGCCCCCTAATAGGTTGAGCTATGACCGGCTTGGAGGACCAGCCAACTCAACCTTGACCGGTTCGGCTCTCATGCTAGGCGATGATGCGGAAGATGAAAGCGAGGAGTGCGCCTTTGCCTTCTTCTCTCCGGTGGAGATGCCGGGGGAGCCTACAAATCCCAAGGAGGCTTGGGAGGGCCCCAATGGGAGGAGTGGAAGAAGGCCTCAGATGAAGAAATGGGGAGCATCATCGAGAACGACACGTTTGACTTGGTGAACCTACCTCCGGGGCGTAAGGCGATCTCTTCCAAGTGGCTCTTCAAGCGCAAGACCGACGCCGACGGCAACATCGAGCGCTACAAGAGCAGACTTGTAGCCAAGGGGTATCAGCAGCAAGAGAAGGACTACAATGAAGTGTATGCCCCTGTGGTGAAGGGTACAACCCTTCGAACCCTCTTCGCCGCGGCGGCCATCAAAGGATGGGTGGTGAAGCAAATGGATATAGTAACGGCCTTCCTCAACGGCGTTTTGGAGGAAGAAAACTACATGGAGCAGCCAGAGGGGTACAATGATGGGAGTGGCAGAGTGTGGAAGCTGAAGAAAGCACTCTATGGCCTCAAGCAAGCCCCTAGGCAATGGTACATCAAGCTGCGGGAAGTCTTGGAGGCGATCGGCTTCACTCCCTCAACGGCCGATCAATCATTGTTCATGCTTGGCGAGGGGGAGCAGAGGAGCTTCATGGTGGTTTATGTGGATGACATCCTCATATTCTCACCCTCCTCTGACCTTGTAAAGGAGGTGATGCTGAAGCTTCAAGACAAGTTCAAGTGCAAGACCCTTGGTGACGTCAACATTGAGCGAGATGTGGAGAAGCGGTGGATGCGAGTGCATCAAAAGAAGTACTTGGAGGCCTTGTCTGCAAACTTTGGGAAGAGTGAAGGTTATGTGGCTACTCCTCTTCCCTCATGGTTCAAGTGTGTGAAAGGACCAGCGGAGGAAAGTGTTGGTGAAGAGGAGAGGCGCCGTTTTCACTCCTTGGTGGGCAGCCTCATGGATGCGGCCGTTCACACAAGGCCGGATGCAGCCTTTGCTACCGGGCAGCTGGCTAGGGTTGTCCAATGCCCTAATGAAGAGCAGGTAGCAGCTGGAGAGAGAGTGGCCAAGTATCTTGGCCAAACAGCAACTGTTGGACTGCAATACTCCGCGGTGGCACAAAGGCGTCAAAAGGGGGCGGATGGAGTCGAACCCGGGAGGCTCTTTCTCACGGCCTTCTCTGATGCATCTTGGGCATCAGAACCAGAGGACATGACAAGTGTGGGAGGCTTCATCTGCTTTGTTGGTGGAGGCCCAACAGCTTGGGAGAGCAAGAAGCAAGTGGACCAAGCATTGAGCTCGGTGGAGTCCGAGTACATGGCACTCTTCCGTGCCATAAGAGAGGTTGTGTGGCAGCGGCGTTTGCTAGCTGAATTGGAGGAGGAGCAGCAAGGACCTACCCCACTCTACTGTGATAGCCAAGGTGCTATTGCATTGGCTAAGAACCCGGTTCTTCATGGCCTTACCAAGCACATGAAGGTGAAGTGGCATTGGGTGAGGAGCATGGTAACCGCGGGTGAAGTGGAGTTGCACTACGTGAAGACGACGGCGCAACCAGCTGATATGATGACCAAGAGGCTGGTTGAGCAGCAGCATTGGAAGTGTTGCAAGCTTGCGGGGATGGCTCTGAACTAAGGGGAGCAGATTCTAAGGCCAACAATCCGAAGGGGAGTTTGTTGGTGCAACCCTATGGCTTGCACTCGGCTTGTCGTCCTTGTTTGTGTGTGTGCATGCATGGCATGGAATGAATTGTGAGTCTATATCATTGCTATCCAGTGCTTGTGTGTGTGTTTGAATGGTGTGTCACTATGTGGTTTGTGTCGGTCAAGACATTAGCGAGTTTTCACAACTCGCATGTCAAGTCGTCGTTTGTGTGTCGCATGTGTTTTTTCTATTTTGTCGAGTGTGAAGTGTCCGTCATGTCACAGGTGTGTGCAGCAAGCCCCCATCAACTCAAGAAGAATTTATCTTGCAGATCCAAGAACAAGAGCTCAAGATTTCAAGCCCAAGGGACGCGGATAAATATTAAATAGTGAAAATAGTAACGTTACTTCGTATAGTGTTACATTTCACTTGGTGTAGCCCCTTGGAGGGTTGGTTTCGAGACTCTTCATGGTTGGGGACTCTGTGGTGGTGTACCACCAACCTGGACCTCGGCTCTTGGGGTATGTAGAGGCTGGGAACCATCTCCCTCTCGAATTCTTCTGCCTAAGTTTTTTGTACTCCTAAGACTATAGTGGCTGCTGTACCTCCTGCCAGTCAAACCGCCATAGCGTCATCAAATCTTCATGGAATTTCATGATTCAACTTGCTGCTGATAGGGGACAGCATCGCGCTCCATATCCAATTTAAAGATCACCGTTTAAGGAAGCGAGCAGATCGTTATCAATATTTGAAGCCGTCTGACGGAAATCCGACTGTGCTCTCTATCTCTCATTATAGGCACATTTGAGCCTATTGTGATTATAACGCAGGGGATGTGAAAGCAGTGGGGCAGGGGATGTGAAAGCAGTGGGGCAGGGGATGTGAAAGCAGTGGGGCAAGGGATGTGAAAGCAGTGGGGCAGGGGATGTGAAAGCAGTGGGGTAGGGGATGTGGAAGCAGTGGGGCAGGGGATGTGAAAGCAGTGGGGCAGGGGATGTGAAAGCAGTGGGGCAGGGGATGTGAAAGCAGTGGGGCAGGGGATGTGGAAGCAGTGGGGCAGGGGATGTGAAAGCAGTGGGGCAGGGTATGTGAAAGCAGTGGGGCAAGGGATGTGGAAGCAGTGGGGCAGGGGATGTGGGTGGAAGCAGTGGGGCAGGGGATGAGAAAGCAGTGGGGATGTGACCAGCGGCTAGGGGATGGTAGAATAATGCCGCGTCGGTGAGGGAAGCGGGTGGGGGGTGGTGGAATAATGACACGTCGTGGGGTTGAGGCGGGGGGGAGAGGGGTAGAGAATGATAATGCCGTAAACATAGAGCGGGACAGGTGGCATAGGATGGTCACATGGTCGCAAATGGAAAAGGAGCGGTGGAGCAGTGACGTGGCTTGTCTGCGTGGGCGCTGCCTGGGCACCACGAGTTTTGTGGGAAATGCATATGGAGCAGGGAAATTGGTGCAGATTGGCGGAAGTAACTGGGGTGTTTGGTTGGGGAAGTGAGCGATATTCATAGGGTGGATGTAAGCGATATTCATAGGGTGGATGTACCTGTATATAGGCGTCGTATGCAAGCCGAGAGAAGCGGTAATAGGGGTTGGTTCAGTGTTGGGGCAGCAGTTGCGGTCCACGTATGTGCTTCGCAGGGCTGCCTTGAATTGCGCCGGAGACCCCCTATCCCAAGGTTTGTGTGTAACTTATAGCTTCCCCATGATCATCATCATTATCACCATCATCATCTAATCGCACGATCATCATCTTTATGTCTTGTCCCTGTCTTTCTCTCTGTATGTCCACACTTACCATGGCTGTTCTGCACCCGTAAAATCCTCTATTCCTATCTCTGCTTTCTCACTTTCTCTGCCCCAACCAGATTCCTACAGTGGGGTACGGGACAGAGCACTGCGGGTTTCGTGCGACGGAACACGCGCCGTTATTTTTCGTGCTAAGAAATAGCTGTAGTGGACGTCGTGGCATGGCGGCGTACGAGGACAGCGTTGCTAACGTTGCAGCGTGGAAGAAAGATCGTACGCAGCGTACGATGCTGTTGTCTCGGTCTATGGGCCGAGTATCGTCTCGCCATAGCACAGTAATTCATGACGGGCTACTATACCCTTCGGACCAGCGTCCAGAGCTGCTGCGCGATATATGTTGGACGCGGCTCGATCGTCTGGCCTTGCCAATCTAAATAGGATGCCCATAGTAGCAGCGGGGTAGAAGGTCTACCGTCCCCAGGCAGCATCATTGCTTCTTGAACTCTGTACACGTCGTCCCGTTATCATTTTGTATTTTCCCCGAAACTGGTACACTTGCAACCGAGATTAACAGAATACGGGAAGGCCATCAGTAACTATTGTAATGAACATTTCTGCCAATATTGTTCGTTTGTTACACTATCAAAGTTGGCCCCTGAGTCACATATTGGTATCGGCAATTGTTTCTAGCTTTTTTGTTTGAAAATAATTACACTTTGTCTTTGCTTTTTTTCCGGTAACGTGTTACGCATGCTTATACTCCTAAACGCCCCCTCGCAATGGAGGCGGGGAAGAGTGGTTGCAGGGTGTGTGCATGAACGTGCAAGTATGCTCTATGTATGCACGGGGATTGAGCCAAGAGTCCCGCGGCACTCCACGACTTAATCTCACAACTATCCCTCAGAGGACACACCTCTAGCATTGTCACATCTCAGTTTTGGGATACTTTTCTGGGCCCTAAATTTTGTGACGCATTGTAGCCTCTCACGAGGGGGCGTGGTTTAATAGAAGGTGAGAGCGAAGTAGGTGGGCTTGAGGCTTGGGTGAGCCGAAGGCAGCAAGCGCGCGAGAGGAGGGCGATGACTTATCGGAGGGAAGGGAGGGCAGACGAAGATGCTATCGGAGAAGGGCTGGACTAGGATGGTGGGGAGGCGAGAGGAGCGGGTATAGGGGCGAGGGGGAGGCACGGCGGGCTCTACTTGCCGAGGAGAGGAACTGCGGGCTTCGCGCTGCTCATGTGCCTCCTCGGGTGCCCCTCTTCTCAGGTGCCTTCTCAGGTGCCCGTCTCCACAGGTGCCTTCTCAGGTGCCCCTATTCTCACGTACCCCCCTTTCGTCAGGTAACCCCTCACCTCCGTTGCTCCTACCTTCTCCCTCCTCCTCGCCCTCCCCAACTCCGGTTCCCTTCTGCTGTGTCCCTTTCCCATGGCAGGTGGCAGCAGCAGGGGCGGGGCGGCATGGGCAAGGAGCAGCTGATAGCAGCGGTGGAGGCCAGCGGACTCATGAGGCAGTGAGGTGAGGTGGTGAGGTGAGGTGGTGAGGTGAGGCGGTGAGGTGAGGCGGTGAGGTGAGGCGGCGGTGAGGTGAGGTGGTGGTAAGACGCAGCGAGGAGGCGAGGTGGTGAACCAGACACATTCACGAAGTGAGGCACTGTGGTGACGCAATCAGAGGTGTGTTCGTATGGGCGTTCATGGGGAAGCGGTTAAGGGAGAACTGGAGGACACCCATGGGTTCAACCGATTGGATGGTAGAGATTGGAATCTGTGCATACATAGCATATAGTATTAGGCAAAGACATAGTGCTAATAATAGGCTAGACATAGCATAGTGCTAATTTACTGCTTATGACGTGTTCTCTCATTGCCATTGCCCCTCCGATTGCCCCTTCTGTTTACCTCTTCTCTTCCGTGTCTTCCTCCCTCCCTTCTCTCCTGTCTATCCCCGTGTGCCCCAAGGCCGTCCATTCCGCGTCGCGACGGGCGTCAGACATTGGCCCTGCAGGGCCCACAACTACTAGTGCGGCTGGAACGCTAAGCGCACCTTAAAGCAGCACGCACTGGTGGACCACCGCTGTCGCCCCTCGCTGTGAGCGCCCTCAAGCAATTGCGGACTGCTGGTGCCCCGTGCCCAGTGCCCAGTGCCCAGTGCCAAATGCCCAGTGCCCAGTGCCCAGTGCCCAGTGCCCAGTACCCAGTGCCCAGTGCCCAGTGCCCAGTGCCAAGTGCCCAGTGCCCAGTGCCCAGTGCCCAGTGCCCAGTGCCAAGTGCCCAGTGCCCAGTGCCCAGTGCCCAGTGCCCAGTGCCCAGTGCCACGTGCGTTCCCTGACCCCTCTGCACTGCTGCCATGTGCCTTTCTGACCCCCCACTACTGCTGGAGTGCAACGACCACAAGCAAGCGAGTCGCGCCAGTGGACCAACGCTCTCGCCCTGCCCGGCACGTGCTTCAAATTCATCCATGTCGGTGCTAGCGCTTCAGGCTTCAGACTGTCCCTCCCACATTCCCCTCCACCCTACTGAACCACTCCGCATCCCCTCCCATGCTGCTTTCTGCCTTCAACTACCCATCACCCCACACACTACCCACCGCCCGCCAGCTGTGCGGGTGGTTGCGAGTGTGCTTCCTGCGTGAGTTGTAGCCCTGCGGCCCATCGGAGAGCTCAGCCATGCATGCATGCATCCGGCTTCTCCCACTCTGCTCCCTCTGCGCCCCTCTCTCTGCCCACCCTTGCATCTCAAGACGCAATGCCCAATTCGGTGACTGCTTCAGCTGTTGTGCCTCTCCCCGTGCCTCTCCCCTGTGCTGTCTGTCTGTCTGTCTCCCAGCTACTCCCTTACACCTGCAGCACACACATGCATGGAGAGAGCTGGACTAGAGGGTTATAATCGCTCCAACATTCTGATCTGTCTCCGTGCCTCCCCCCATGCATCTCCCCATGCCTCTCCCCATGCCTCTCCCCATTCCTCTCTCTCCCCATGCCTCTCCCCATGCCTCTCTCCCCATGTCTCTTCCCATGCCTCTCTCCATGCCTCTCCCCATGTCTCTCTCCCCATGTCTCTCTCCCCATGTTTCTCCCCATGCCTCTCCCCATGCCTCTCCCCAAGCCTCTCCCCATGCTTCTTCCCATGCCTCTCCCCATGCCTCTCCCCATGCCTCTCCGCATACCTCTCTCCCCATGCCTCTCCCCATGCCTCTCCCCATGCCTCTTCCCATGCCTTTCCCCATGCCTCTCTCCATGTCTCTCCCCATGCCTCTCCCCATGTCTCTCCCCATGCCTCTCTCCCCATATCTCTCCCCATGCCTCTCCCCATGTCTCTCCCCATGCCTCTCTCCCCATGTCTCTCCCCATGCCTCTCCCCATGTCTCTCCCCATGCCTCTCTCCCGATGTCTCTCCCCATGCCTCTCTCCCCATGTCTCTCCCCACGCCTCTTCTCATGGCCTTCCTCTGCTTTGTCTCAGCTACTCCCTCACGCCTGCAGGGGTGCCTGCAGCATGCATGGGGAGTGCTGGACTAGGGGTCTTGTGATCTCTCTAATCTTCTGCTGCCGCTGTCCCCATGCCTCTTCTCCTGGCTCTCGTCTGCTGCCTCTCAGCTATTCCCTCACGCCAGCAGGGGTGGCTGCAGCGCACACATCCATGGAGCGAGCTGGACTGCAGGCAGGTGGGTATGGGAAGGGGTGAGTGCGTGCGTATGGGTCAGAGGAGGTGGCGCAAGTTTGGGGGGAGGTGAGTGCAAGGGCATGTGTGTGTGAAGGTTGGTGGAAGTGAGTGGAAGTGGGTTATGGTGCATGAGATTACCATGCACCATAGACTGGTAATATGCGTCACTGCATCATGCTCTTGCATTCCGGCTGCACCAAGATGACATCCTATTCTGGTGCATTTCACCATGCCATGCATGCCACGCACTCTCCACACCCCATGCACCCTCTTAACCAGCCGCTATGTGGAACAACAGCGCTTTTCTCCCTCCTCCCACCTGCATGCTACCCCCAATTTGTCGGTCCTCCTTTTAATTCTCAGAGGCATATTTCCTCCTCCCACTTGCGCGCTCCCTCCTGTCCGACTCTGACGTCCATTGCGTTCTCGCTATCTCGCTTTCAGAATTCGGTGCGCAGCCATCTGCTGCCCCACCTCCATCGGGCTCCCCACCACCTGCTACCCCCCAAGCAGCCACACCAGTGACAGCTACCGCGGATCGGAAGGTGGTTTTCACTTGACCTCATTTTCGTATTGTTGTTTTCTTGCATTCCCTCATCCGCAGCGTGAACCTCCTCGTCCAATTTTTGTCTCCTCCGTTTTTTGGTAACAAGCATTGCTCGTGACGTGTCTGCTCATTCGTCGCACAGTTTGCCAGCCTATGTATGTGCCTCGTCTTGAATTTACTACTCCGTCACTCCCTAGGCCTTGCCTTATGCGACTTCAATCCCCTGTGCGCTGTGCCCCGTGCCACTTGTCTGCATGCATTGCATGCAGGCAACAGAGGCACAAGGCCATGGGTCAGACACAAGGAGCTGCAGGAGTGGGGGAAGGGCACGGGGAGTAAACGTGCAGCGTTGCGAGGGGGAGGGGGGAAGTGAAGGGATAGGAGGAGGAGGAGGAGAAGGAGGGATAAGAGGGGGAATAAGAGGAGGAGAGGGACCTCAGTGGAGCGGCAGGAGGAAGGAGCAGGGAGGAGTGGGAGAGGGAGAGAGCGGAAGCGGCAAGCAAGGAGTGCTGCTGATAGTGGCGCAACTGTAGCAGCTGTAGCAGCCCAAGACACAGGAGCACCAGTAGCATTGAATTTGCCAGCAGCGAGAAAAAGAATGGCAAAAACTCCAGCAGCAGCAGCAGCAGCAGCAGGAGGAGGAGGAGGAGCAGGAGAAGCAAGCACTCCATTCAGTAGGAGTGGGGCAGCATCAGAAGCAGAAGCAGGGGAGGGAGAGGCAGTTCTGGGAGGCAAAGCGTCGGCACTCATGGCATCGCTACATGCAGTGAATGGTGCGTGCATGGTGCATGCATGGTGCATGCATGGTGCGTGCATGGTGCGTGCATGGTGCATGCATGGTGCATGCATGGTGCGTGCATGGTGCGTGCATGGTGCATGCATGGTGCATGCATGGTGCATGCATGGTGCGTGCATGGTGCATGCATGGTGCATGCATGGTGCGTGCATGGTGCATGCATGGTGCATGCATGGTGCGTGCATGGTGCGTGCATGGTGCATGCATGGTGCGTGCATGGTGCATGCATGGTGCATGCATGGTGCGTGCATGGTGCGTGCATGGTGCATGCATGCGTGCTGAGAGTGGTGTGGTGGGTGCAAGGATGCAAGGATAGCAATCATAACATTGTGACGTCTCCACACCACCACCATACGGCAAGGATGGTACTTTGAGACAAGGCCAAGTGGGGACATCCTGGTAGCCGTTGCTCTCCCAACTCTATGCCTTCCAATGGAAGCCTCACCTTCCTTGCCGCTCCTCTCCCTCTGGCATTTCTCTCCCTCCGTTCATTCCTCTCCCTCCGTGCATTCCTCTCCCTCCGTGCATTCCTCTCCCTCCGTGCACTCCTCTCCCCCCGTGCATTCCTCTACCCACGTGCATTCCTCTACCTCCGTGCATTCCTCTCCCTCCGTGCCCCTCTCCTCTGTTTGGCAACATATTCCAGGCTGCTCCAGCGACCCCCCTACCTCCCTTGCATTGGCGCACCTGACATCCCCACCAACCTGCCTCTCCCTCTCGGAGACGGCTGACATTCGCCTGCCCCTGCTGGCCCAGGGGCAGCGGTTCAGCGATGCGTACCGAGTGGTGGTGCTGATCGAGAGCAGAGAGAAGGGGTGAGAAAGGACGGGATGTGACGGTTGACAGACGGGGCGAGGGAAGCCTGGTGGTCGACAGCAGCACTGTGAGGCGGACCGGGGGATGGGGCCCATAGACAGCTGGGAGAAGGTGTGAGAAGTGGGTGAGGAGGGTGAAAAGGAGGATTGGGTGTATAGAGAAGGGTTGAGCACTGAGAGGAGGTGTGAGGGCATCATGGTGGCGCGTACCGAGTGGTGGTGCTGGTCGAAAGCAGGGAGAAGGGAAGGGGGAGGGGTGGGTGAGGGCAGAATGGTCAGAGGCAACACTTGTGTCAAGCGCACCAAATGTTGGTGCTGATGGATAGCGGTGAGAAAGGGCGGGAGGAGGGATGAGGGAAGGGGTGAGGGAAGGGGTGAGGGAAGGGGTGAGGGAAGGGAGCATGAAAGGGAGTAGGGGTAAAGGGTCGAGGGTAGAAAGGAGTGGAGGAAAGAAAGGTGGAGCAAGGGAAGGGGGTCTGGTTATCGGGAGGAGGGGGGAAGGAAAAGGAGGAAGGTTGAGGAAAGCAAGAAATAGTGAGGAGAGAGGAAATCGAAGGGAGAGTGACCGGGTGCAGGGTCGCATGCTTTTCATGGTTGCTGGATATTGCAGGTGTCAATTTATACATATTATTTATATATAGATGTGTAGGCTTGGTAGGTTAGGTGTTCTATCAATTTTGGATCCTACTGTAGAGAGGACAACCCCCCCTTCTTGTACCTCTCTCTCTTTCCTAGTTCTCTCTCTTGTACCTCTCTCTCTTTCTTAGCTAAAACCTCTTGACATTTCTTATGACTAGCTACTAGGCTCCTAAACTACATTCAACATGGTTTCAGTGTTAAGACAGGAAAGAATAATTAGAGGAAGGGAGAACAGGGGAGATATAGCGTTTCGGTTGTACCCACTAAGAACATACCCTATCTAGCCTATAACTTCTACATAACAATATATGTATCAGTTGACACCCCCTAGGCTAGATAAGGGGTAGTGCTGAGCAAGAAACACGCAGCTCAGGGTGGCACTACTAGTCCAACCTCTGAGGCAGGGGCCTGAAGGCCAGTCAGCAAGAGTACAAGCAAGACAGAGCAAACCAGGGCAACACTACTAGTCCAACCACTCGAAGAAAAGCCACAAGGCCAGTCTCGAAGGCATAAATAGAAAGGAGTACACAATCAAGGGCCTAGCAAGTGAGAGTCAACAGGGACTAGACCTAACTGTAAGCAGGGCTGCTGATGATCTCTAGGCGGAAGCGCCTTAGTAAAGATATCAGCTGTGTTGGCACCCAAGGCCAAGTGTACAACGCAGGCCTGGCGACGCTGATGAAGTTCGCGCAAGAGGAAGTACCGCATCTGGATGTGCTTCGCTCTGCACTCAAGTCGAGGCTCCTGACACAGGAGGATCATGGCCCTGTTGTCAGCGTCCAGAACCGGGGCAGACCTAGGCCGCTCACCTAAGTCGGCAAGCAAGAAGGTCAGCCAGCGGAGCTCCTGAGCCGCCATGGCACCGGCGTAGATCTCAGCCTCGCAGCTAGACTGGGCAACAGACGAGGAGCGAGTGGACCTCCACGAGATGGCACCAGAACCAAGGCTGAAGCAGTAGCCCTGCGAGGACCTGAGGGTCTCAGCATCGTCTGCCCAAGAAGCGTCTGTGTGCCCAGTAAGGACCACTGGCCTGCGTCCTCCCAGCACTAGCCCCATGCCCGATGTACGAGCAAGATAACGCAAAACCCTCTTAGCGGCCGACCAGTGCTGTGGTCGGTGTCTGCCAGTGGCCACAAAGCGGGCCAGGATGCTGAGAGGGTATGCGAGATCTGGAGGAGTACAAGTCATCAGGTACATGAGGGAACCCACCAGCTCTGTGTAAGGACCACTGGGCTCTGCTGACTCCTCAGGAACTGGAGCTGAGAGCCTGTGGTCTACCGGCAGAGGTGTGGGCTGTGCGGAGGAGAACTGAGGATCGAACCTCTGAAGAACCTGGCGCACCAAGTGTGACTGTGTGAGAGTGATGGTGCGCGCTGCTCTGTCCCTGGAGATCTGCAGGCCAAGGTAGCGGCGCAGCTCTCCCAGGTCAGTGCAAGTGTGTTTCCTCAGCAGCCCAGCCTTCACGGAGGCCAGCGCGTCTCTGTCTGCAGTAGCAAAGACCAGGTCGTCTACGTAGACAAGGATGTAGAACAGAGTCTGGCCAGCACGAACGAAGAGCGAAGGGTCAGCAGAGGACGGAAAGAAATGCAGGTCAGCTAGCATAGCACGCAGCGTGTCGTGCCACTCACGGGGTGCCTGTCGCAGGCCATAGACCGGGCGTCGGAGGAGCCACTGGGTCCTAGGAGGGAAGGTACCAGTAAAGCCTTGCAGTCGGCGAAGGAAGACCTGCTCGTGTAGGCTACCCTGAAGAAAAGCAGTGGAGAAGTCGATGGAATTGAGCTCATAGTCACGCTGCGCTGCTACGTGTAGCAGCACCCGAAGAGTAGTCATCTTCAGGGTCGGGGCGAAGGTCTCAAAGAAGTCCACCCCTTCTCGCTGACTCAAGCCTCGAGCCACGTAGCGCGCCTCGAACACATGTGCCTCTCCAGGGGGGTGCTTCACCTTGAAGAGCCAGCGGCCATCGACTACGTTCACCCCAGGTGGGGGAACTGCGTCGACGTAGGTGCCGGTAGGCCTCCAAGATGCCATCTTCTGCTCCATGGCAGCTATCCACTGAGAGGCCCAGGGTCCCCAGGTCGCCTCAGCATAGATGCGAGGGGTCAGGATGTCAAAGGCGTCGGGGTCACCCTCAGGGACTAGCAGCATGGAACAAAGATGGGGAGCAACCTCTGACAGGAAAGCAAGCTCGTACTGCCGGTCCTCCAAGACGTCACTACTAAGGGCAGGAGCACCCCCGACGGACGGAGGACAGACATGGTCAGAGACCAGAGCGGTAGCGAAGTCAAGGCAACGAGTAGAGGCAAAGTCAGCGACAGCAGCGACAGGAGCGTCAAGACTGGAGACAGGAACAGACGGGTCGGTAACGAGGGAGGCAAGGACCCGAGGAACAGGAGGACGAGTAGCACGAAGGCAGTCAGAAAGAGGGGGAGGCGCGACAGTGAGCGACGACGGAGGAGGCGAAGGCAAACGGGGAGGACGACACGCGTGGGAACGAAACAACATAGGGTGAGAACACTGAACAGGAGAGACATGACGAGCACGAGAGGGACGGCGAGATCGGACGTGAGACGGAGGCGTCGGGTCAGGAGACAGAGGAGGAGTAACAGGAGGGGAACGAGAGGGGAAACGATCCGGGGACGAGTCCGGCGGAGGAAACACAGGACCGTGAACAGGAAGAGGGGGAGACGGCGAGGGAGGCGCAAGCGAGTGGGCAGGGGAGGGAAGGCCGAGCAGGCGAAGGGCGGACACCGGCGGCGACTGCTGCTGCTGCTGCTCAACGCCGACACCTGGACCACCAGCTGCACCACCGCTACCTCCGGTACACTCTACGCCAGCACCCCCAGAACGAGAAGTGTCTCCAGCGCCAGTGCCACCCCCGAGCCCGCCGGGACAAGCCACAACAGGAGCCCCAGGACTAGCACCCTTTCCAACTCCAGCACCCCCAGAGTTCACGAACGGCTGCGGCTGCGGCGACAGGTGCGGCTGCGGCGGCGGTGACGGCGGCGGCTGCGGCGGCGACTGTGACGAGGGAGGAGGAGACATCTGGGAAGGGACAGGCAGCGCGAACTGCGCTGCGGTGCCACCGGAGTCAGCCAACTCCTCGACCGGGACAACCGACGGAAGGGGCGTGGCGTGAGACACTCCAGACAGAGAAGGACAGGGAGGGAGGGGGGCAGGGGCTACCGGGGGAGTGGGAACCAGAAACAGGGGTGGGGCAACTGGGAGACCTCGGTGAGGAAAGCGGTGGAAAAAGGAGATAGACTCGTCGAAAGTGACGTCACGGGAGTGAAGGAAGCAGTGAGACGGCAGGTGGTAGAAGTGCCAGTCAAACGAGTCAAGGGGGAAACCGAGGAAGACACGGTGGAGGGTGCATGCAGTGAGCTTGTCCATGCCGGAGGCACGAACATGAGCGAGGCAGCCCCACACGTGGAACGCAGACGCATCACCAGGGAACCCGGTCCAAAGAAGGGTCGGTGAAACCTGCGGCCGCTGAGAGCGAGGCCAGAGGTTAAGCTGGTGAGCGGTGTAGCGAACGGCGAACGGCCACTGAAAATGGGGTGCACCGGCATGGATCATGGAGGTACGAGCCACCTCCATGACCAAACCAATGCGTCGCTCAGCGATCCCATTCTGTTGCGGGGAGTCTGGTAGGTGTACGTCTGGGTGATACCCTGCGCACGACAGAATTGACCCAGCCGACCAGAGGCGAACTCGCCGCCACGGTTGGAGTGGAGACACAGCACAGGGAGACCGCGGTGGAGGCGCGCAGCAACGAGCCACGGGATAAGAACGTCAGGCACGTCGGCCTTCCGGTCCAGGGGAAACACCGTGGTGAAGCGTATGAAGTCGTCAACGAGCACACGAAAATAGCGCTCGTGACGCGGTCCAGGGACAGGGGTTGGGCCCCAGACGTCCAAGTGCAGGGTCTGAAGGGGTGCAGTGGCAGTGCGAAGTGAGGAGGAGTGAGGAGCATGGCGCAGCCGGCCCTCGACGCAGGGCGTGTACGGTGGCGCAGGCGAGGGAGGGAGAGTAGGGAGCGACGCAGGCAGGCCGAGGACTAGACCGTGCTGAGACATGTGACGCAGGCGGGGGAGCGCGGGGTGACCTAGGTGGTGGTGCCACAACAGTGACGGGTGATTGAGCGACCGATACGAGCAGGCCGCAGCTACCTGGGTGGACACAGGACCGGAGGAGGACTCGCCCGCCGGGGGGGGAGCAGTGTCCAGCGTATTCAGGCCAGTCACAGGGTGCCGGGGGAACGTCGCAAGGGGGGCACCTGAGGCGGTCTCGGTACAGATCGCGTACCGCTCATGACCAGGGAATATAGTGGTGACACTGAGGTCCTGAAGACAGCCGACACCAACTAAGTTCCTGGAGAACGAAGGGATGTGCAAGCCTATAAGGGAACCCGAGGGAACCGCCGGACAGGGAAGGTTAGTGTAGCTGCGAGCAACTACAGGACCAGAGGAGGGGTCCGCAAGGGTGACAGCGGCAGGTGCAGCAAGCGGCGTGAGGGCGGCGTGGTCGCAGAAGAAACAGGCTGACGCACCAGAGTCCAGAGTGAAGGACCGCAATGCTGTAGTGGCAGACGACGGAGGAGCAAGGCTAGAGCCAAGGCTAAACAAAGCAAGCTGTCCTACGCCTGATGCAGCAGGGGAGTCTGGACTACACACAGGTGCTACGCCTAAGCTAGAGAACACAAAGTAATAAGATGCGGAAACACTCGAAGCGACAGCATACAGAGAATGCAAGGCATAACTAATCTGATCCATGTCTAAGTCAAACACAGGCACACCGTGGTGCAGCAGACTGGGTCAGTAAGGGAGGTCCGGGGCGGGACCAAAGCAGCGACGGAAGAGGTCGTCGAGGCGGCGGAAGCAGCGGGCGGTGGGGTGCGAGCGGCGGCACACCGTGCCACGCAAGGGCCCGGTCTGAAGCTGATACTCGCAGCTCTCAGCACCGAAGCTGCCGGTGGACGCCGAGCTGCGAGGGCCACCACCACGACCACCACCGCCAGGGGCTCCTGGCCACCTGGGCGGGAGACGAGCCCACGGCTGCTGCTGCTGTGACGGCTGCTGCGACTACGGCGGCTGCGACTGCGGCGACTGCTGCTGCACCTGGGCACCAGCACCAACCCCCTCGTC